TGTTACTTCAGGAGATCACCCTTCTAGAGGCAATCCCCCTCTCCCTCCTCCACCCAGTGCTTACACCATTGAGCACTAGGGAATATTCAGACTAGGGACTATTTACCTTCAACAAGCTGGAAAAAAACCTACACACCACATTAGAAGTTTTCCATCTAACTATAACACTGCTTATTTTGGGATTAAAACCAATTCATATCCTCTGACCTTCCCAGAAAACCACTGTCTGCATCTTTAGCCCTCCAGTGCAGGGTACACATACAAGAAGTTTGGAATGGGAGGTGCCATCAAACATGTGGCAGCTCTTTTAATCTGAGCCCCTGACAAACGATAGTGACCATAAAGAGTTCCACCAAATTTAGCAGCTGATACCCTTTCACATTCCTCCATGCACAAGACTCACGTTTACAAACTGTTCTTTTTAAGTGGGCTTTTAAAAGTGCCCCAAGAATTGCACTCCTTCCACTGAACCTTCCTGCATTAATCTCCGATAGATTCCACACAGTACATAAATAATGGTACATGTTTCATTTTAGGTATGCACCTCATTAAAATGGTGCTACTCTCTTATAGGTTTTATAAACTTCAGCTGCTCCCTTAACTAATGTGTGCTACAGAGGATGAAAGGCTCAACCCCATCTTTGCCCTATGCTAAAAGGAATATCGTATTACCTTGAGAAGACAACTGACTCAGATAGATTTCCGTCAAAGACGTTCATTCCTTTTATGAAAAGACTGAATTCCCTTGGTATCTTAAATAGAATTTGACCTGATTTGTGAAGCTGAAGGGTTAGAATCAAATTATTTAAACAACCCATCTACCTTCAATGCAATGTCTTACTTAGTTTTAGATGATAACATACAAAGGGGGAGAACGCATACAATTTATGGGTTAAAAATAAAAATCAGCCCAAAACACCGCTCATGCTTAAGCTGCATACAACAATAGTCTTACAAAGCCAAAAAACCCCACGTACTTTAGGATTAGTTTGGACATAAGGTATCTAGACAGTATGTTCCCAGTGGAGCAGAAAGGCTATTACCCTAAAAAAAATGAAAGTACACTAAAATTCTGTTAAACATTTAGTATTTCAGAGAGACTTTGATATAAGGCTCTGCAAGTAATTCAGAAAAGCAGGAAGAGAGCACATGAAAGAACCACAGCAAGCACACACTAGGTATTGCACCAATTTAGATCCAAAGCGATCAACCACTACCCATAAAGCAGGTGCCTCAGCTAAAGTGCAGAACTATGAAGCAGTCTTGAATCTACACTGCTGAAATAAAAGAGACACGTAATTTAACACCACAAAGAAGTGTATACTTCATTTAGATCCAAGACAAGAAAATAACACATTTTTGATCGTATCCAAGAACATAGAAACTAAAGCTATTACTTTTTGTGATAGGGAATTTGGGAGGAGAGTTGCTAAGGGTAAACACATGGTATATCCCTGCATACACACACTGCTAATGGTATAGCAAATTATATCCCCTCAGCTACAAATGGTTTAGTTGTGTACATCTGTGCCCAATGTCCTTTGTATACAAAAGAAATTACCAGAGCAAGCCCAAATAAAAGAGATAAGGTGGCTGATAAAAACAACTGCTGCTTTCTGAATGATTGTGAAGCAGCTCCTGACTTTCCCCCAGATCTTTGTCCTTGTTGACCAAGCAGAAAGACTAACAAGGAAGAGATAAAAATACCTCTGAGGGTCATCATCACCAGTTAAGCAACAGTTACTCTTTGTGTATATACCTGTCGCAGATAAAAGGGGAGCCTGCTCAGTGTTGGCTCAGGTACCTGAAGACACCCTTCCCATCCCATAAGACAATAATCTACTTGAAGAGATCACAGATACAGAACACAAGTTTTAGGCAATGTGGGGAGTTTACACAAACACACCTGGACTCAGCTGGTCACTCACCAAATCACCTGTTGCTGCTCCCAGGAGCATGAGGCAGTGTTGCTGCTCCATGCCCAGCACTGTGGCAGGAGCAAGGGGCAGCAGGAGCTGGGAACGCACCCTCAGCCCTCACTGCCCACACAGGTCAAGTCAGCTGGCAGGTGCACGAAGGTACAAAAATAGCACTTATATAGAAATATACTCAAAAAGGATACAGCTCACTTTGGGACTAACTGTCTCACTTTTTAGAGGCTTTACCTCAAATGAATTGCCTCTCCACTTAGACATCCTAAGTAAAGCTGTTCACACCCACCCTTACACACACTGTTACAATGAAAAAATAAACTTAACAGCATATAACCAATACTAAAGCTTCCACCACTGAATTACAGAACACTTGGACTGTAAAAGAAGTCTTCAAAGAAACAGTACAAATTGTATTAGGAAAAGCAGCCTCATATACAAAACCCACAAATCACAGTAATAAAAATTATTCATCAAATTGTATTAGAATGTTAACAGCTATTCTGAGACTTCAAATTACATTGATCCAAAATGTAAATCAGAAGGATTTGCAAAAATAGGAGGACTACTACATATAATGAAAACACCTGTAACATTCAAGCAAAAATAATTTTCCATTTAACATTTCCATCACTTTACACAGTGCACTATTAAGCTGTAACAACTTTATACAGGCTTCTCTGCTCTTCCCACATGCTAGAAAAATCTCAGAGTTCTGGGCAATTTATGTTGCGTGTCTTGCACTTTAAAGAACACAAATGGTATAGCCCTTCACATTTAAGATTTTAATCTCTGGAAGAAGGGCACTAAGGCTGAGTGCCTAAGGCTATTTCTTTCAAATGGGAATGAACAGAACTTTAAATGCCCTGCAGATGTGGAGGTCACAAAGTTGCTTAACAACCTCCCTTGTGTAGACTCCTTGAAGCAGCTTTCTGGTCCCTACCTGTAATTTGTTCTATGTCTACAATTAGAAAATATCACAGTAGACTGTCAAATGGTATTTCTAAAGATTACCTTAAAACATGCAAGAACAATTATGTATTTCACCCAAATTTGTTTGAGGTAGGTGTACGCAGACAAATAAGAAAGCCAGCATCAGTGTCCTGCACAGTTGACAGCGTTTCCTGTTAATGACACTATTTCATACCAGGGGATAATTGCTGAGGACACTTAATTTCTCCCCATATATTCACTCAGTAAAGGGAGTAAAGAGGACTTGCTCACTGCTCATGATCCCACTGGAATATTAAGAAAACAATGAAAGACACCCATGTACAACGGGCAGGAGCAGCTTTCTACATTTGCTTTGTGTTTTCACATTCTCTCCTAAGTAAAGCCGCACCATTGTTTTATACACACTGATTTTAGACAGGTAATGGAATTAATACTTTCTCAGTACTACAAATTTCACACTAGCAAAATGCCTCTTTTGAACTCTATCACCTATTCCAGAAAACAATGTCTCTGCCTTATGAGAGCACACTATTTGGGTGCAGCAAGGGCAGTAACAGTGAAGGGAAAAATAAAAAGCATCTGCACATTTAAAGTAGGAATATACAAAGTCTAAAGAAAAATATTTAAAAGGACTACCGTTGTTTGTTCCTTAAACTTCCTACATCAAGATCAATACTTATACATCTCCAAATGTTAAGAACAATCTAATTATCTTACGTTTACGTATGTACACGGCTTCTAATTAGTGGGAAAGTAGTTTATACTTGCAGCTATAACATATCATGAAAAGCACTTGTTTTTGCTGAATCCAAACATTACTATAAAAATATGAAATATCAAGCAACCTGAAAGATATTACACAAATATTGCTACCTATTTACTTACACCAAATAGAAAACTAGAACACCAACTCCATTAGCTGAGTTTCAAACAAAATCAGTAAATGCTACTTTCATATTCAAGACCAGACCATGTTAAAGTTAAAAGCCACACAAGCACTTCCCAGTCTCAACCTCAGTTTCACTATACAACCTTTCCTGCTGCTTCCCGTTTGCATTACTGCGAAACTTCCCATAAATAAAGTACTAACAGAAGTGTCTCCAATGTGCTTTTTCTTTACATCAATTCAAATAATATCATCCTTAAATAGTACTTACATTTTATGATACCCTAAGGGAGAAAACCAGCTACCCCTGCCCCAAGCACGCAGCCTGGCTATACAAGTAATTTCCCCCCACACACCATCAGTGAGATTACTCACATGGGCTGTGAGTTGCTGCAGACTGAGCAGCACTTGCTGGTGGCCCGTGAAAAACTGGTCCACCCCAACACGTTCACTCCCCTATTTATTCCATAGCATTACATGACAGCTTTAAACCCAACTGTGACACAGCGAACGCCCTCCTGCCACTCCTGTTCCCACCTGCATCGGTTCTGCAGTTGCTACTGACCCCGAGCCTCACCAACTGCTTTTCTCTGCCACTTTCAACAAGAAAAGTGCAGTATGAATGCTTTAAAAACTCAGAAGTTTAAGACTGCTACTCTGAATATGAAAAGATTCACAACCAGTCAGACTTGAAGAGCTGTTTACAAGCCAGATGCAGCATGCTCTGAAAACCTACTGTCATATCTACAGAGTCTATGCTTTTTAAGTTTTAACCACTACAGCTACAATAGTTAGATTATGCATGAGTCACAAATGAAGTTTACATTAGTAGAACTCACTAAGACATCAGTATTTCACGTCTCCTAAACCTTTTAGGTTTTAGAATTATTTTTTGCTATCTCCTATAGCCTAAATAATCAGTGAGAACCAGAAAATAACTGCAGGGAAAGACTTCAACTTTAAATTGCAGTAACACTTTAAATGTGCCTTAACTTCTAAAGAATAATTGAGCATAAAATTTAACTTGAATATTAATTTAATTACTACAGCACTGCAATGTGTTCTGTAGGTTGTCACAACAGCTAAGACAGCGATGATGCACGACACTGTATGAAAAGAATTTTCCATACCTAAACTACTTTCTTCGGACCATCCAAAATATGACTCCCCAAGCAGCATATCCACTCCAAGTCGTTAACCAATATTTGCCACATACGCAGTTTAACCCTCAAGGAAACGGGAAGGCGCCGCAGCGCATCGCAACGCGACAGGAGTCCCCCGCCCGGCCACCGCGCTGTCTCCCAGAGGCACCCCCAGCCCCCTCACCAAACACAGGTGCGCGCCCCGAACTGTGTCATTTTTAACGCGCATCCAGCTTTTCTGGATGACGCCCGTTTCCCAGCGTCGGGCGCCGCGGCGGGAACGGGACAGGGGCACCCCCGCCGCCCGGGCCCGCAGGGCACGGAGCCGCCGCGGCGGGGGAGGCAGCGGGGCCGCCCCGGCCGGGGGAGGCGTGTCCTGCCCGCGCTCCTGTCAAACGCCGCCGGCCCCGCGGCAGACCCGCCACGGCGGCACCGCCGGCGCGGGGACCTCCCACACCGCCCTGGCTCACCGAGACTCCCGCTGTCCGGGAGTCGCGGCCACTCCGGGAGAGAGAGGCGCTTTGTTGGTGCCGGGAGGCAGAGCCGCCCCGCTCCTCTCGCCCGGGAAGCCGCTCCTGCCGCGGCCACCGGCGAATCCCCGCGGGCGGCGGGACCCGCCGAGGAGGGGAGCGGGCAGCACAGAAAGGCAGGGATGCAGCGCCAGAGCGCGGGGCAGGCGCGGCGGGACCCGGTGCCGCCTCCAGCGCAGCGGGGCTGGCTGGGAGGGACACCCGGGGGCGCCCGGGACCGCGGCCACGGCGAGCGGAGGTCGCGGTGCGAGCCCCGGGAAGGGGCGCGACCGCCGCCTCGCCTCCCTTTCCCTCCCCGCTTCTCCCTCCCCCCTGCCCGCCGCGGGGAGCGGGCAGCGCCGCCGCCGCCACTCACTGGGCGGGCGGGCGGGACGCGGGTCCTGTCAAGCCGCTGCTGCCGCCGGCCGCCTCACGCCGCCGCCATGTTCCGGGGGCACGGCGCATGCCCGGCAGCGGCACCGGGGGCGCGGGGCCTCCCCCCCCGCCGCCCCCCTTCCGCCCGGCCGGCGGGGCAGCGGCGGCGGCAGCGGGGACGAGCAGGGAGTGAGGAGTGGGGGTCGGAGCTCCGCGGCCGCCGCCGCGTCCCCGCCCCGCGCCCGCACCTGCGGCGGCAGCGAGAGAGCGGGACCTGCGGGGCTCCGACAGGAGAGCCGAGGTCGGCGCGAGTTCCTGCGCCCGAGCAGCGAGACCGCCTTGTGAGGGGGGAAAGTCACCCCGTGGCAGGTGTTTGTGTGGGAGACTTCGGTGCGTGAGGGAGCCACCGCAGGGGTTTCTGCGGGGAAACCTGAGGCAGCCGGTACCAGGCGCTGCGCTGCCGCCGGCTCCGTCCGTGTGCGGGGAGCGGGACAGTCCCGCGTTAGAGTGCACGAGGGATCGCGATATACGCCTGCAATTGCATACAACCAGCGTGTATAGTGCGCGTTAAAATCGGTGCTCACCCACTCGGGAAATTTTACACAATTATTTTGCAGAGATCCACGCTTATAAAAACTGTATAATAGCCAAAATGTGCCTCCTTAGCTTTTAAGGAGGGGGTATTCCAACTGTGTAAGCTTCGGGTATTATAATTCAGACCCCAAGAGGTATGTATGTGTAAGTATACCTGGTAAAAAAATCATAACTTAAATACTGTCATCCTTCATGCGGTTTTTTGCCCAAGTTTCAACTTCACTATTCAACATGACTTGAAAGGTGAAATTTTGAATTCTAAATTAATCTAAGGTCATGAGAATGCGCTTCTAAGATTTCTTTTCATGAACAAAAAACCGAACGAAACCCACGAAAAAGAAAGCTCAAATACATACCCAGCCCCCCTCTAACTCTTCCGTATGAAAGTGGAATTCATACAGCCCATTTTAGTATCCTGCATATACTGCAAGTTACTGCTAACAATTTATGTTAAGCACTCCCATAAGCAGTAAATGGTTCTTCAGAAACAAGGAAAACGAGCCCTTGCTGTAATTATAAATATTTAATATTTTGACAACATGAGAGAAACAAGTAAAACTATGCTAATCCAAGTGAATTAAAATATACAAGAGGAAGACATAGTGAAATATGCTTACAGAAAATCTTTATAGCTAAGTGTGTTATGCTCATCACCAATGCAGATGAATGCTGCTTAATTTGAAATATTTTCCCCTTTCTGTCATATGGAACCTTCGCAGGAAAAGGAGAAATTATGTTCATCAGAGAGATGGATACAGAAATGTTCCAAGTGTCACAGAATAAGTCCCTGTGAGACACAGAGGAAACCAAAACATATTTTAAAGATATTCTTTAACCCCAAGCCACTGCTAGGTACAACATCTGAGGAATCTGTTCCCTGTGAGCCAGTGGGACACCATGTCATTGGTTTCTACAGCTGTTGCTGCAAAGCCTGTCAAACATGAACTGATGCAGTCCTATACCTGCTCGTAATTTCCCCAGGAGGCTGAAATCAGGAAGCCCAGCTAAGAATAATCCTGCATCTTAGACCCCTGATGCCATGAAATAGAATAAACAATTAATGTAAGGATAAATGTCTGCAAAATCACAGATACATCACAAGCAGAAAGAGCAGAAGAGAGCTTTTAACACACTCTTCTAATGCAGGAGTCGAACGGATCTATAATGCCTTCACATGTGTCCTTCACCTACAAGCTACAGCTGCAGTAAAGCAAAAAATTTCTTTGCAGGATTATTAGAAAAGGAATAAGAAATCCTGAGTGCTTCCATTTTCCAGCAGAATTATGAGCTTGTTTTCTGGTGGCTCACCCATCATCTTTCATTTTCTTTTGTAGGTATTAAACTGAAATATTTGGGTCAGAAAAAACAGGCATTTTGGAAGTTCTCAATGATCTTCACAAAGAGAGAGGTAAACACTTGTGTATGCATGTATATATAAGAATGTATGTATAAATATATGAGTATATGTATACATACATGTATGGCTTCATGGTTTTTTGGAGGGAGATTCTGTGATTTTAGAAAGAAGTAACAACATCAAAACAAAAGCAAGACATTGCATGGAAGTAAGGCTCCAATGAACTCATACAGTGTGTCAATATGGTGTTCTGGGAGGTTGATGCAGGCAAAAAAAATGTTTAAGAGAACTGGCAGTTCTCAAAGAAATAACATTAGGAGTATAAGTAAGTGAACACTGGGCAGAAGAGGTAAGGGCAGAGTAAAAGATCAGCCTGGCTGTCAGAAGCTCTTTCTGAACCTCAGATAGGAATGAAGCATCCAGGAAAGAAGCTGGGTCGGGTTACTTGAGGGAGCTGCAAAAGTGTAGCCTAATCATGCAGGAATAAAGTCAGAAAAGGCAGCAGAAAACGAAACACAGCTAGTAATTTTGGGATATTTGGGCTAACATGAAATAATGTTAAGTACATTGCCAGAAGTGGAAAAAAATCAGGCAAATGATTATGCTAGTATCAAGCAGAACTGGAAAGTTTTAAAAGACAACACTGAGAAAGCCAAATTTCTTGATATTTTTGCATCTAATTTTTATTTTTATATATGTATATATCAGGCATTATTGATAATGGGGAAAACAAACAGATTTCATATTATACTATCAGAAGACCAAGTGAGAAATTATTCAAACAAAATTTGCTGCTTTCCCATCAGCTGGATTTAAAGGACTGGATATGAAATCTCACCTACTAGTGGTTATTGTAGATAATATACAGTGAAGGAATATTACAGGACAGAAAGGAACAAACAGTTTTGTTGAAAGGAAAGAAGGAAATAGGAAATTATATACACCAATCTATTTAATCTCAGTACCCAGGAAAGATACTGGAGCAAATAAACAAGCTATGCTTAAGCAGTTGTAACACAATAAGTAACAGCCAACACAGCTTTGTCAAGAACAAAAGATGTCAAATCTAATCTCTCCTGCAATGGAGTAAGAGGACTCATCAGTGGAGGAGAAACACTGAAGACCATGTTGGATGTCCCTTTAGTAAGATTTTTGACATGGTTTCATATGATACTCTCTCAGTAAACAGTGAAAATAATGTAGATTATTTAGGAAGCTGGTACAAGTGGCTCGTTGTGAGAAGGATGGTAATGAACTCAGTGATGGTCCAGAAAACATGTTTACATAACTGGAGATTATACCAAATTGGGAGGCTTTAGCATGCTGGAGGACAGATGTAGGATTTAGAAGGATTTTCGCACACTAGTGATTTGGTCTGGAAAAAGGAAGGTTCTGTTCAACAGGGATAAGTGCACGCTACTGGGCAAAGGCAGATATGATCAGCCACACAAACAGGAAAGGCAGAACTATTGAGTGTTCTGCAGTAAGAAAAGCTGCAAATATGTGACAAAAAAAAAAAGGAAAAAAAAGTTCTGTTGTTATATGAATCACAATCTATACTAAAGGGACAATGTCAGAGAGCTACAGCGAGAAAGCCAAACCACATAAAACAATACAAAAAAAGAAGCACAAATTCTTTGTGAAACAGCCTGATTTACATGGCCCTAGGAAAACTCAGTAACTGTGGTCTGACTTCAGTAAATATGTAGCCCCTGAAGAGAGCAGAAAAGAACAATCTGAATGATCATATATCTATAAAACATAAGTTAAGAAGTAACTTTAAAAAAATCAACAGAGATTTAGGTTGAAGGGGGGAAGTGGAAGAAGAGGAAATAACATACATATCTATGCAATTCTGATATGAATGTATATCAGATATATGAAAGACTGCTGTGAAGAGAAAAGGACAAATTGCTCTGTGATTTCATATTGGATGGATCAAGGATGGGTCAGGTTTAAAAAAAAGCAAGAAGATTAGAAAAAAAAATGGTAAGGATAGGGAAGAAGATTGGCTGGGTGCTTGTGCAGCCTCCACGCTCAGACTCTTCAAGAAGAGCTGGGCACCATTGGTCAGAGCTGGCACAGGTAGAGTGGCCCTCAGGCAGCGGGTGGACTCAGCCACCTCCCATGGCTCCTGCCAACAACACAGCTCAATGAATGCAAGCTTTCTTTAAGGCCACTGGAAAGTACCAGCTTCCTTAGGAAAAGCATTTTATTGTTTCTGCAATGTGCATACCACTATCTTCCAAAAATAAATTGTTTCAATAAGAATCTTAAACTGCTTTTCTATTTTCTGAATCCTCCTTCTTTCAAGCTGTCCCAATATGATTGTCCTAGGAGACCAAGTATATTACAGATACATGAGAGGATGTGCAGCTTCACTACCTGAAGAGAGCCATAATTTAGACATAAATAGGTCTGTCTTCACATTCAGTTTATGTGAATTCAACCAATACTGTAATTTTTTATCTGACAGCAAGTTAACATTGTGTTCTTTCCCAAGAATGAAGTTTACCTTTTCCAGAACAGCCTGAAGTGTGACAATGACATATGCTTTTAATAACATCTTCTGTAAATTATTTCTTTCTTTTCTGCTGGCTTGTAGAAAATGCCATCACCTCCTTCACAGTTTTTAAACTGCGTAGATTAAGAGCAGGAATAATTTCAGATGACAAGTGTAAAGAACACACTCACTGTGACTAGAGTAAGTAAAAACATTCAGGCATTCCAAAGCAGTTTCATTTAACGCTATAATATTACAGTATATACATAAGGTATCTGGACATGTATGTAGGAACTGGTAACACTGAAAGAAAAGAAGTTATGTTACTTTCATTTGCATGGCTGCAAACCTGAAAATAGCTTCTCTGAGGTACAGGAAGCTCACAGAAATAAGTGGGAACAGAATATTGGCCACACAACCTGTTAAAATATTTGGCTGTATTAGTTAAAAATTGATTTGTAGAGGAAAAGCAGAGAGAAACCAACTTCAGTCAAGACAGATTTAAGCTATAGGTAATCTTTTGCCATTGAGTAAATAGTGATTAAAATTACCCCAGCAAGGGGAAACAGATTTATTGTATTCGTATTATTTAAAGTGAGCGCTCCCTGCACAGTGACAAACAAAAAGAAGAAAAAATATTTACTCCCAAAATCTTGGGGACAAAAGCCTGCAATAGATTTATAATACCAAAAAATTATTAAATTTGAAGTGGTATTTTCTGTAGCCGAAATACCAAAATCATCAACATGTTCATAAACTGACCAGGTAGAACCATTTCAGTAAATAGAAATGGTTTGTTTCAGTATTTCTAAATACCTGATTTTCACCCTTTCTTTCTTTACTTTCACATAAATGGCATTGTGTTTGAATTGAAATTATGTGAATCAAATGTTTTCAAAACTCTTAGCTCTAAATATCCCATTTTGACAGTTGAAATATCAATCTTGTTTGGGAGAGGTTTTTTGTTTGTTTGTTTGCTTGTTTGTATCTAGGAATGGCAGAAAAATCATCCCTTTACCAGAGACAATTTCAGTGAATCAAAACTACTGATAGGGAGTGATAGGGAGCTTTCCAGCTAGAAAACTCATGAATAAAATGGCACAGAACATTTTATGGAATGAATTTAAACATGGGATTTGAAATAAAGCATGAGACCAGGAAGCAAAACTGCTACTTCTGGGTTATAATTATAGAATCATCAAGGTGGGAAGAGATCTTCAAGTAAACCCTAAACCATATCACTCAGTGCCAGATTCAGATGCCTTGAACACCTCTAGGGATAGTGACTCCACCACCTTACTGGGCAAGCTATTTCAATGCCTGACCACCCTAACAGTGAATTTTTTTTTTCTAATGTCTAATCTGAATCTCCCCTGTCTCAGCCTAAGGCCTCTGGTCCTCTCACTGTAGGCACAGTAGAAAAGACCAGCTCCCACCTCACTACAACCTCCTTTCAGGTGGTTGTAGAGAGTGATGAGGTCCCCTCTGAGGCTCCTCTTCTGCAGACTAAACAAACCCAGCTCCCGCAGCTGTTCCTCTTAAGAGATGTTTTCTAAACCCTTCAGAAGCTTTCTTGCTCTTCTCTGGACACACTCCAGCACCTCAATGTTGTTTTTAAAGTGAGGGGCCCAGAACTGAACACAGTATTCGAGGTGCACCCTCACCAGTGCCCACTGCAGTGGGACAATCACCTCCCTAGTCGTACTACACTATTCTTGATACAGGCCAAGATGCCATTGGCCATCTTGGACACTGTGATGGTTCAGACTTGGCTCCCTGCCAAAGGCCCAACCCCCCAGTAGCAGCCCCTCTCCTTCCCCCTTTCTACTTCCCCCAGGGCAAAGGAAAAAAACTATGCAAATTGAAGAACCCGAAAACCAAGCTAGTTATATAAAAAATATATTTTATGTATATTACAGTTAAGATGCTATGTACACAGCAAACGGGAATCCAAACACCCCCCAAAGGGATAGGGAAAGGGGAAAAAGGGACAAAAGGAAACAAAAAGGGACACCAAATAGATATGCACAATCAAACCCAAGAACTAGTAAAATAGCTAGTAAAACAAATCTCACCACGTCCCTTAGAAAGCAGGCTTGGCAGACACTGCCAGCACTCTCCAAGCTTCCACGTAGCAGGTTAGTGGATGCTGCAGGCCTCAGCCTTAGATAAGCGAGACCAACGCAGGGACCCACTGTTCCTGAATCTCGCCGGAAGAGAAGAGGAACGAAGGCCGCTCCTCCCCTCTTATTTATACCACGATTTACGTAAAAATTGTATGGAATACTGGGAACACTGCCCCTTCCTTGGTTACAAACTGGTAACCAGGGAAGGCCTGGATTAAAACCACCACAGACACCCAGGCACATTGTTGGCTCATGTTTAGCTGGTTGTCAACCAGCACCCCTAAGTCCCTTTCTGCTGGGCAGCTCTCAAGCCACTCCTCCTCCAGCCTGTAGTGCTGTCTGGGGTTGCTGTGACCCCAGTGCAGGACCCAGCACTTCACTTTGAACCTCCCGCATCTGTCCCTAGCCCATTGATTGAGTTTGTCCAGGTCTCTCTGTAGAGTCTTCCTACCCTCGAGCAGAACAACAATCCTGTCCAACTCCTGTCTGCAGATTTACCAAGGGTGCCCTCAATCCCCACATCCAGATCTTTATCAAAGACATTAAATAGGACCAGCCCCAATACTGTTCCCTGGGGAAAACACTAGTGATCAGCTGCCAGCTGGATTTAGCTCCGTTCACCACAGCTTTCTGGGCTTGGCCATCCAACCAGGTTTTTTACCCATTGAAGCGTCCACCCATCCAAGCCAGTTTTTTTAGGAGAATGCTGTGGTGTCAAGTGCTTCACTGAAGTCTAGATAGGGTAATGCATGGTTGAAGTCTTCAGTTAGCATAGAGGAACTATTCTGACTCCAGCTTCATATTTTGGCAAGCAAAATCAAAGTCTCCTTTAATGAGCTAACATTTCTCCTTTGGATGCTCTTTAAAAGTGGAAAAGAAGTCCAAGAAAAATAGATCACCCTCATCCCTAAGAGAGAGAGCAAGCAAGATGAAGGGCTAGTAATCCCTACCCTCGAATTCAGCAGTTGATGCAAAGGCTTCCATGTCTCTGCTGCTGGGACTTAGCCAGCTGTCTGGTGCCATCAGTGCCCAACTCAGTCCCGGGCACGCGGCAGGAGGCCTGTGTGGCAAGGTTTGACAGCTCTCTGGATGATTAACAAAACCAAAAATCCAGCTCTTCCTGCTATGGGAAAGCTTTGGGGAAATGAAAAATTAAAGCAAATGCACTGTTGTCCCCCACTATTTTTAAGCAATCTGACATGGTCATGCAGACACATGTGAGGGGTGACTTGCTCTCATACACAGCCTTTGGACACCATGGTCCCACTGCTTCCAAATCCAGTACAGTTTCTGTGATGCTGCCAAACTGAGCACTTCTGCCATGGGATTTGCCAGCTGCTGTCAATAGTTCTCTGACATTTTCTTTTGTGTCCTTGCCCTGCCAGCACCTACTGGCAGCCCGCTGTGGACCCTTAGCTCTGCTGCTGGGAGGCAGGCAGAAGGAGACCAAGACACGGAGCATGCAAGGTAGCAAGGAAGAGTCCATCTGGCAAGAGGAGAGGGGATGCAAGCCAGAAGCACAAGCTGGCCACCACCTGGGCTGCCTTTGAGGCAGAGCAGCAGCTGTGATCTGGGGGAATCATGGAAAGGAGCTGCCCCAGTTGGCAATGGGATCTCAAATCCACCATGAAATGAATCAGTCCTCTAAATGATGGCTGTGTAAGTTTTGCTTGTGCTACACACCTTGGTGAGCATGCCCCAGATGGAATGCAGATGATAGGGAGTGCCATGGATGGGTGAGAGGTTAACTGCTAAATAAATGTGCTGCATAAGAATAAAAGCAGAATGGTGCTTTTCTTGAAGCTGAGTATATCAGGATGTTTGAGCCAGGTTGGTATCTCTTTCCATTAGTATCCTAAAAACAAAAGAACAATTAACTGATTATAATACCACTAAAGCACTTTTGAAAGTTTAGTTTCAAGTTATACATTGTTTGGCATGATGTGACCAACCATGTACACCCTGAGGCCACCACAGGCATGAATAATATGACAAATGCCATTCTCTGTGAGATCAGCACTTATTTCTATTTCAGTGCAATGAAACCTGAGATGCCAGAGTGGTTAATCCTGTTTAGTGCTACCGCCAAGGCAGAGATCTGTCAGCGTTATGTTTTCAAATGATGACAGAGGCAGTTTGCTTGCATCTCTCAGTTTGTAAGCTCACCAACACCAGTGACTTCTGCTTTCCTTAAAACACTGTTCTGTGTAAACAGAGTAGCTTGGTTTAAATAGAATGCATAAAGTGGTGTTTCACTTATTCAGCTTCTCAGTCATTTATTTTTCATTTATTTGTAGTTTAGTTTGTTCAAGAATAGATCCTTCTGCCCACAAGGGTCCTCAGCACCCACCTTCAGAACAATATGGGCACTGTGGTGGTGCAGACATCTCTGCCAGGCTCAGCTTCTCTCACCTTCCTGGTGCTGGAGACCCACCAAGCACAGAAGGGCCCAGGGTGTACCCTTGCTGCTGGAGAGCATGGAAGGAGAGCAAAAGGGTAGGTATGCAGGGAAAGGGAGCAGGACAAGGGCCATGAGCATATGCAGCAGCTGCTTGCACCCCTGTCTTTCCCTTTCTGCAAGGCAAGAGTGGTCATCTCCTGCCACCCATCCCTGTCCTCCTGTGGGGGCTGCACCTCATCTGCACAGCAGCAAAATCGAGCAAGGGAGGATAAGAGAATGTCAAAATCTCTGAAGCAGAATAAGAGTCCCAAATGGAGCATTCTTATTAATATTTGTAAGTAAGTATTATTTTTACCAAGGCAACTGTTTGAATTAATAATAGACAGTGCCAAAACAGCAGTACATAGAGGTAATGGGGGTTTTACTTTCTCTGTGTCAAAACATTACTGTTAAATATTTAGAACAAATACATAGTTTGTTAGTATAAGAAATGGTGTTATAGCAGTTGAAGCATTTTTTAGAAAGATACAAAAATAATGTACTTTTCTGTTCTCATATGTATACCACCTTACAGCTTTAAGCTTTTGGGTGAAGAAAATTAAGCATTTCAACTATTTTAGTTAGCTTTCAATTTTAACAACATTTTCCCATGTGTTACATTAAAAATAAAAAAAATTATGAGGGTACGAATAAAGTTTAAGTATCAAGGAGGAAAGAAACAGTAAGAAAATGCCAGAATAGCCCTACACTATTTCTGTTCTACCTCCAGGTAGTAAAGATGAAGATTGTGGAATCAGAGGGAGAGGTGTTGAAACAGCAGGATGAAGTGAAGAACAAGTCCTCAGGTTAAATGGTACATTCAGAGACTTTTGAAATAAATGGTGGCACTGCTAAAATAATATGCACTCACTCTTAGGCAGAACAAAGAGATACTTCTCAAGAACTTCTTAGGACTACTTTCTTTGCCTCAACCCCAATAATGGGTCAAAGATGATAATGGTCCTTAAGGCAAATCCTGCTACCCTTTGGAAGCATCTGCATAAGAGGATCTTTATCAGGAAAAGTCTATAAGTAACATTGAAAATAACACTGACAGTATACAAGCATTATTTAAATCAGAGGTATATTATCTATTGTGTTTTAATTTATTCTTTCCACCTCAAAACAATGCAAACAAAATTATTTCAAAAACAGATGATGAAAAAATTATAAATTCTCTTGAGAATTTTTTACAATGAAAGCCCAAATAAATGGGGCTGTTTAATGTCAAGATGAGTGGCAATAAATAAATATTTTTAAAAAAGGAGAGAGAAATACAAAGAATGCAAAGTCATATAGTCTTTTTATCACAAACGTAAGAACATACACTGAACTTGAATATCAGAAAATGTGAAGATAAAATCTGTGAAACTCCTTAGCACAATGTAACATTGCTGTTACCAACGTTAAGAGGATATCACAAAGGGATAGACATGTAAAGATTAGAATAGTCCTGTCTGTCTTATTATGATAATAATAGAGATAATTTTAAATAGGGAACATCCCCTCAGGTTTTTCTT